TTGGACTTGTAAACCTCAAGCCTAGTGTTTAGTGTTGGTGCTAAATTTGATATTAAGCAATATAGTAGTGTATAATGTTATACAAGTTTATTCCTCTCAATAATCTTCACAAGTCATTAGCATACTTCTTCTTATAAACTCCTTTTTATGTTTGTTATATACTATGAGATTTTTTTTAAAAAAAAAAAAGCAAATAAAGAAATTTTGACAATCAATAGAGAAAATAAGAATACGAGAAATAAGATAAAAATTCTCTATAATGATACTGCAAACTAATCGAAAGGGATATAACGCAGTTTGGCTGTATATTTATTTTGGGTACAAAATGTCATGAGTTCAAATCTTGTCATCCCTACTTATTACTTCTTCTCTGTGCAGTAGCGAGGAATAAAATTTGGATTGTGTCTCTCAACTAGATCTTAACCATTAGTAAAACAATCACATTTCCTTCACCTAACCAAGAGCTTGATTTAACAAATTTTTCTAAAACGCGAATGCAAATAAGAAAATCTTCTGGATAAGCTTCACCATCATATGGTCATCGTAATAAAAGAGATATTTGGCAATATGCTTGCGCTTGTTTGGTAGGATAACCATATGATAAAAGTGTGTTTAAAGTAATGGCAAAACTACATAAACCCTTTCATTTCGAGTGATTGGATTATCATGTTGAAATCGTGATAAGTAAAAAATGATAATTTTTTTTGCATTTAATTGATAAAAATAGAGTTATAGATTTTAAAAATTATATAAATGAAAAATAAATCACTAGGAAATGAAAAAAAGAACCTTTTCTGAGTTATAACTACTGGATTGAACTTTAATTATAAGAATTAAATTAAGTACAAAGACTTTAAAATGCAAAAACTTTTGTTTGTTATTAACTTACAAACTTTCTTTAAAAAAAGTCGAAGTATGTTATATAAAAAAGGATGAGTATGGTCATATGTGTGATAGCATTTACTATATCAGGAATATAAATGAACTTGATTATTGCAATTGCTAAAGATATCCTTTTTCAATTTATAATTGGCTTTTAGAATATATTTTTTAGTTCAAGATTACTCTTACTAGTACTAACTAGAATCAATAAATTAGTAGATTGATTCCTTGCAAAATGAGAGCGGGCTAAGATTATAGACTTATATCTATAATCTAATTATCTAAAGCCAATTCCATTATTGTTCATTTCAAATTGATTCAGACTGGAATAAGTTTATATAAATTCTCATTATGAGAAAGTTTTGTACAAACATCTCTAAATAGATACTATATAGATTCTTACGTCTTTATGTTAAATTTAGGATTATGAATGAGCAGTCTTATTCTAAAATTGACATTTATACACTATGAAGTTTAGGTAGTATAGAGCATGAATTAAATATGCAAAAAATAATGGGGATTTTCTTTAGGGGAGCCATCATTTCATTAGAAGAAATATTTTCCAATCCTATGTTACTGATTATGGTTGTGCATTTAGTTTATTTGATTAGTTCACTTTAAAATTTTCAAATTTTGAAAAAATCAAATTGGTCATAATAACTAGCCAAATCAACCTAAATACCTAGGGGAACTAAAATCTTTAATCAATTTTGCTATAAAATGAAATATTCAAAAAAAGAGTAATAAATATTAATCTTATGTAGTATATATAAAATATCCTGAAATGCTCTGATTATTCTATTTTATGAATGATATGATGGTTATATATGCATGATTATACAATCATGATATAAGTATAAAAATCAGAATTATATAAAAGTAAAACAACAAAGGGAAAAGATTAGGGTTAAGGGGAGAAAAATCCCCCGACTGAGAATTTTTTCCCAAAAAGAAAAATTTTGACTTTTTTCTCGATTCTTAAAAATTATTTCAAGACCCAGATAACATCCTAAGATATTAAAAAACATCCCAAAGTAATGAGGGGAAAGAAATCAAAGAAGAAGTAGGAAAAGAAAACTAAGATTAGGGTTAGGTGGGAAAAAAATTCCTCGAGTGAGGGAAAAATAATCTTTAGGGAGGAAAATGCTTCATGAGGCCAAAATATTTGGAAATTGAAGCTCAAGCTCAAGAGAGTACATTTTGGGACATAAACGAAGAAAGTAGTATGAAGAGAAAATTTTTTCAAGAAAGAACAACTAATCTGTTAAATAATAAAAAATAATTCGGGAGAATTTTCCTCTCAGTTTTCACTTCCCCCTCCCATGTTGCCTTAACTAAGTGGCATTTGGGGACTAGATAATATTTGAGAGGAGTCTAGAAAATGTCCAAAAATAAAGCAAGCAGCTGTGTGGGATGGTTTAGGAGAGAAAATGGATGAGGATGGTCGAATTGAAGAAGGGATAAAAGGGGAAACATGAGGTTTTAATCAAGGGTGAAGAGGTCGCCCAAATGTGGTCCAAATGGAATAATATTTGAACCGGTTGCTAGCTAAAAGACTATAGGAGAATGTTAGCCAAAAAATGGCCAAATGGAAGTTAGTGTTTTATACAAGAAAGGAAATGGCAAAAGGGTAAATGGGGTGTGGCTGTGAGGAAGAGAAAAATATGATGTTAGCTTAAGCCAACACATCCTGCCATGTATCTTCCTCCCTTTGGTGCCCAATCACTTAACTTTTGTTTGTGATCTCCTTTTATTTACTAGAGTTTTAGAATCATAAAAAAAAAAAAAAAAAAAAAAACCATCATAAACACTTAAATGAACTTTTAAAATATGTTAAACAAAAAAGACTTTTGCTATCACTAACTAATGTAAAAAATAATAACGGATGAATGTTAATCGTGGGAGATTAGATCTACTGACTATCATTACCATTTTAATAAAGTTTATATGAGGCTTGACGGGTGGAAATATGAATATCTTAATTAGTTAGACTTGTTATATTAGCGAAATCAATGGTCACATCTCTCCTTATCCACCCAATGCAAATTACATAGATTCCTTACTGTATTTATGATAAATTCAAAGAACAGATTATGAACACTTAACTAGAAATATTAAGGCTTACTACAAACCCTACATTCTTTGCTCTAAATAAAATTTATAATCCTAAAGACATATCTCTTTTTGGCATTTTAATTTTTTTACGAACACTCTCATGTTCATTAATTGGGTTAAAAGATGGTCGCCCAACCCCTAGAGCTTGTTATTGAGAAGAAATATCATGAGGGAAAGAATTTCGTTGACACAATAGATCTTTCTCATAACTTCCCTATATGGTATGATATTATGAAAAATCAACATGTAATCTAATAAGGTACCATGTGGAGGATTAGCAATGGCTATTCCATCTTCTTATAAAACAAATTTTTATGTCTTAACTAACCCTTGACTCATGTGGATGAGAATATATTTTTATGTCTTAACTACTTTCTTATATATTATCCCTCATATATTTAGGATATAATCGAAAAGTTCCCTTTCCCTCACTTGGAGGGGTCAACAATTGTCGTATTTAGGAATTAGATAAGAACATATATCTTTATTTGCAAATATACTTATCACATCATCCACAACCGTTAAACTCTTGACCAAAATGAATTATGTTGTTGTATTTGGAAAACTAATTAAGGCTTTACTTCATAAAGAAAAATATTTTTCTTGTTTTTATTTTTGAAACGTGTTTATGCATATGTTTATTCATAAAAGCATATAAGAGTTGCATATTTATAAAATAATTTCTTAGAAATCATTATGAATAACAGTTTAAAATTTTATAATTTCATCATCATTTTTACCATTGTTCCCTTGATTGTAAAGAAACTTATATAATTTTGTGATGAAATATTTATAAATTGAGAAAGTTAAATTTAGAATACACAAAAAAGAGCCTAAATTTCCAAGCAAGTTTTTATTCTTCATTTGGATTGCTTCTCAATGTGAGATATTTATATCAATAAGCTATATATTAGATTAAGAATTATGCCCCAACAACTTTGTTTTGTTAAAATGAGCATAAATATTGTCTATGAACATTCAAACTATTGAGATATAAGAAACTATATTGTGATATTCTAATTTCACATTCAGATATATGTGATTGTTGAGCTCTAATCAATATTTTCAGTCTGAAAATTGTTGAACTAGTAGTTATTAGACCTATAGTGTTATAAATGGTGCCAGAGTAACATGTTAATTTGGTGACTCAACAATTTTAGATATTGTGGATCTTTAAACTGTAATTTATGATTGTAATATGTGGTTTTTGGTGAGGATATTAAGAATTATCTAATTTTTTAACTTTATATAAGTGATCAAGTCACACTACTAATAAATCAATAATAATTTTAATGAAATTCCAAACAGATCCATCCCATAAACAACTAGTTAAAAATAAATGCTAACTCTATTTATGGTGCTATTTTTACTCGTCATTATGTAAGATGTGTTATTTGTAACAATAATGGTAACTAGTTAGCAAGAATTATAATGGT